AGGCTGCCGGGTCTTGGGGGACTGGGGAAGCTCCTGGGGCATGAAGCATGTCCCCATTGTCTCCACTTCAGGCGACATCCTGTGGGCTGGCCCTGGTTGACTTGAGCTAGCTTCAGGTGGAGGGGACTCGAGGTTATCCCCATCCTGGGCAGGCAGCAAAGGTTGGTCTACTGGCTCCTGTTCTCCAGTTGCCCCATCAGCATCTTTGGCATTTTTGTCCTGAGGGTGCTCATCCGGTCCCAACAGGACCTCATGGTTTTCAGGGGTGACTGCTTCTGCAGTCATGGCCTTACCAGGGGCTGGATGCTCAGGCTGATGGTGCTCCATGGTTGGAAGGTAGTCAACCGAGGGGCACTGGAGGCATTTATTGATCTCAGAGACTTTCCTAAACCAGGCTTGGCATGCAAAAGAGGGACCTGTCCAATAAGAAGAAAATCATTGGGCTGGAAAGCAAATGGACCCAGAAAAGTCTTGGAAAAGGAATGCAGTGTGGAAGTGTGGCTAGTGTCTGTGTAGTCACTCCTGGCTATGGGTAGTAGGTGTCTTTCTCAGCTTGTATAAACAGATGGGCCCCGGGCTGAGCTCCTTCCACCTCTAACTTGCTGTGAATAGATGGGACTAAGGAGGGCTTGGGGCTTCCGAGCTTGGGAGGGATGAGTGGAGTGGAATTGAAGACATTGGGTAGAGTCAGCTTCCCTGAAACAGATGAGAAGGAATGAAGAAAAGACAGAGAAAGGGAGAGTGCAAAGGAGAAAGACAGAAGGGAAAGAGATGGAAAAAGAAATGTTAAAACTCTACTGATGACTGGCCAGCCACCAAAAACAAAAACAAAAAAACAACTATACTAATAGTTATTAATACAGTGATCTTTCACTCACCCTGTAACTGGCGTCACATCAATAATCCCCACCACAGCTGGGACAGGGGTAATTTCTCTGCCCTACACCAAACCCTGCCCCTTTACAGAACATTCTGAGCACATACAGGCTGCTTATATCCTTAGGGATACCTTCTCTGTGCCTCACCCAAGGCTGAAAAGATTAACAGTCAGTCACATAGTGCTTGGGGTGAAGAGTGGAGATGCAGAGAGTCAGTATCATGTCCCTAAAGGTGACACACTGGTGAGAAAGGGGAAGTCTTTCTACTCAAAGGAGTCTACTGAACCTTACGCAACCCTAAACTATAGCAAAAAGGTCTTGGGAAAGACTTCCTGTAGTCTGGAGAGTGGAAATGTATGTCACGGGGACTTGAATCAGAGACTGGTTCTAGAGGCATACTATAGCAAAAAGGTCTTGGGAAAGACTTCCTGTAGTCTGGAGAGTGGAAATGTATGTCACAGGGACTTGAATCAGAGACTGGTTCTGATAAGTAACTTCGGATTAGAGGCACGAAAAGCACTCCCCACGAATTCTTCCTGTAAGCTTCTTTTGGCAGCTGGAATTGAAATAGCAACTTCTCCTCAGTTCGCCTTCGTTCCCAAAACTACCCTAACCCACAGATATTCTCTTGCCCACAATTTATGTGGAATAGGAAAATGCTGGTTATTGATTTACATTAAAAAAAAAAAAATACTCCCTCTACATTCACCTACCTGTGAGTGTGTTCTTTATGTCTATTCCCACCTAGGTCATTTTAGATGTGAACACTGGACCTGTTTAGCCTGCTCTCTACCAGCTCTAAGCATCGAGTCAAACATTGATAGACATTTAATTAACACTGTGGATAGTAAATCACAAAAAGCCACAAACACTGCCCTCTAGAGAAATCTTCCTTCAATCTCCTTGTTCTTCTTCCCCTGAATAGTTAGGTGAGAAACCAGGAGAAATTAAACTAGGTAGAACTCTTGTCTTCTCTCTAGCTTCCTCCTAACCTGAGACTATGATTCCTTCTTATAAATCTGTAGGAATTTGGGGCTAGGGGAAGGCCTGGGAGATGAGGTCGAGGTACATTGAAGTTACTGAAATAAAGTAAGCCTAGTCACCTAAATTGATCATCTTCCTGATTCAAATATAATTTATGCTAGCTGCATCTCATTTACTTTTCCCCCCCCTATATAAAGATGACCGGTGAGGGGATCTTAACCCTTGACTTGGTGTTGTCAGTACCACACTCTCCCAAGTGAGCCACTGGCTGGCCCTCATTTACATGTTGTTAATTTAGAATCAGAGTAGCAAAAATTCCCTTCAGGCCTTATACTTTTTTCCACCTCTTTCTCCTTTCTTCCTCTTCTCCCAAGTGACACTTATGGTGAGCCTTGAAACAGATGCCAGAGCCTGGGAAAGTTAAAAAAGCAGGGCTCGTTTCTAATCTTTTTTGTCCAGTGCCAGAAATGATCAATAATTAAGTGGGGGCTGGTCAGCTAGCTGGCTTGGGGGATGAGCCAAAAGAAACCAGGAACTGGACACCTGAGCGAGTGGCGTCTCAGAGAAATTGTGCAGAACTACGTGGGCTAAGTCTTAAGAGGCAGGGGCAGGAAATGTCACGGAAGGTTTCTACCCTACAAGATATATTCCTGGTGGGGAGGGCATGGAGTATTTCAGAGTAGGAAAGGACGAGGGGGAGGATACTCAAACAAATCAGGATTTCATTCTTTTCCGCCTCTTGTCTCAGCTCAAGTCCTACACTTTCTCTCCAGCTGGAATTATCCTATGATGGTGGGTGAGGGAGTTAAAATAGCCCTGGCCCCTCCTAGTTAGTAGCAGTTGGAAGAAGCATATAAAATAGGCATGTAGCTTGAAGAAGACACTCCTCCTCTCCCAGGAACCTTCCTTTCCCCAGAAGTCCCTTACCGTCCCATTCCAATCTCCTTCTCGATCTGACCCAAATCTTCATGCAACCAATGATTTAGATTTCCCCCTCAGAATAAGTCAAACAGCACCACAGTGCCCTGTCTACCTGCTCACAGGGAGAGGGGGAGGGTTTCATTACAAGGAGGAAATGAAAGAACCAAGCATCCCGTTTACACATTCCTCCTGCCTTAGCACCTCTAAGCAATTCAGACTTGTAGAGACCAAAGAGGGGAGGACAGTCAAGTGTCAACTCCCGAGAGCCGGAGAGGAAAAGAGAGAATGAAGATGGTTAAAACAAAGTTTTTACCTTAAAGAAGTGGGTGATGTTCCAGGACTGAGAAGGAGGGCTCAGCTCTGGCCATTCAACAGGGGACGTGGGTACAATGAGGGGCACCACCAGGGCCAGCTGCTTTCCGGCTGCCAGCGCCAGCCAGTGCTTACACAGGTTTACACAGGTTTACAAGCGGCGGTCCTGGCTGTGTCGTGGCCACTTCCGGACTCACGCCCAGGACTGGGGGCACTGGAGGGGGGTGAGGGCAGGCAGAGGCGCAGCCCAGGTGCTCCAGGGTCGCTCAGAGCGTCTTCAGGATTCCTGAGTCGCTGAGTCTGGGGCGTGTGCTCCAGGCCCTGACTACAAACTGGTTTTCAAAGGAAGTTTGTGGTTTTTCTTCTTTCTTCTTTCTCTCTCTCTTTCTCCCATCGGGACAAAGAAAAATTAGTCGAGGACAAGCTCTCTGGAGGAGGAGGGGCCTGCCCAACACTGGAGGATTTCCATCGGGGCTTTCTGACCCGGTCAGCAGCTGGGTGATCAGCAGAGAGCAAGAAACAAGGAGAGAGAAACAACAGACCCTTTCTCTTCCCGCTGCCTGCCGCTGGAAGGGACGGAGCGCTTGTGCCTCTCTGGTGAGAACAGGGAAGAGCAAGTGCCCTTGCTGAGTGGGCAGGAGCAGGGCTGGACAGCAGCAGCTTGTTGGAGCTGGGCTTTCTCCCCAGGTATGGCAGTCTTTTGCTCTGGATCCACAGAAGCAGGGCCAGAGAGCATATCTGCATATCTACTCATTTAATGTAAAAAATACTACTAATAAAATAAAATCCTGTTCCTTCCTCTCTGGAGCCCTGAGAAGGCTCTTTTCCAAGTTCTCGCTGTTATTTTTTTAGTCTAGAAATGAAACTGGCTGGTCTCTGCCCCTGGAAGTGCATAAAAGTTGTGGATAAAGCCCCAGGCCCTGGGAAGAGCACAGCAGGGAGAGAACTAGCCGAGCCGGCAGGAGCTGCAACACTCCTGTGCTCTCGGTTTTGTTTCAACCATAGGTCTCAGCTTCTCATCAGTCATCTCCTCTCAATTTCCAGCTTGGGAAGAAGGAAAAGTGGGTGTGAGGTTGATGGTAGGAAATAAAGGATTAATAGATAAATAAAGGGTTAGTTAATGAGGGAACAGTTGATGATGAGGGTACATTTATTTTAAGTACTCTGCACTGCCCAGGGGCTGGAGAGTGGCAGTTAAGGGAGGTTGGAACCTAACTCAACATTCTGAAGGGTCCTCCAAGTTCTACTTACAGGACTGCCATAGGATAAAACTTCAAGCAGCTCTGAAGACTGAGAAAACAGCTGGAACAATTAGGCAGCGAGCAAAGAGCCAAGGTTATAACAGTCCAAGAAAGGAATGAGGAGACATTTGCCCGGGCTGTAGAAAAAACAGTCTACAGAGTTAGAAAGGAAGAAGCAAAAGGAGTTTGGCAAGACACTGTAGATATCAAGCAAAGGGGTCAAAGGTTACTCCAAAGTTTTTTTTTTTACTATGGACAACCACAAAATTGGTGGCAATAGGTCAGTTTGGTAAAGGAGAGAATTCGAGAAAGGAAGCTGAAGAGCGGTTTTGCCATGTGTGGTTGAAGATGTCAACCTGATGCTCAGTGTAGTATATGTTAAGATGCTATACTTAGCCTGATCTGAGAGGGAAAGTTCAGATGCCACAAATGGGTTTCTGTAACACATACACATTTGTGTTATCAAATGAGTGATCCCTCAGAAAATCCTCCTTCCCTCAATTATGGACATCTCGGAGCTTCTGGACTACGTTTCCCAAGACGCCCTGCGCCACGCCCTCCAGTGCGCCTCCGGAAGACATCCCGTGAGTCTCCGGGCGCAGAACTCCGCCTCCGCCTCTGGGGGCGGGGCGACGTCGGACTCCAGGAGCGCCCGATTACGCATTTCCTCCCGGGGTCGGAGGCCGATTTGCCTTGTGGCGGGTTCGAGTCCCGCCTCCTGACTCTTGCCTCTAGCTCCTGAGTCTTGGGCAGGGTGCATGAGCAGCATAACCTGTCCTAGACGAGGTTCGACGGTATATCTTGGGCTTCGCCATGGAGGAGTACCTGCAGGGTTGTCGAGCTGCTCTGCAGGTAACGAATCTCTGTTGGTGACTGTAAAGAATGGAGCATGGGGTCCAGGGAGGACTAAAATGTGGTGTGGGATCTGGAGAGCCACAACGGTCCGTGTGGAGCGAACACCGAGTTGTGGGGAGGGGGCTTGTGGTCTGATCAGGTTTGGGGTATGAGGACCGAGAACCTAGCTTACGAGCGCGAGAATGTGCTCAATCTCCCCGTTTTGGGCTCCCCGCCTTTGGGATCTATCTGGCGGAGAGCGGGGAGGAATCTTGGGCCTGGGTCCTGTATTTGAGCCTTGCTTGCTATCACCTGGGGGGTCAGTTCCGTCAAAAGGGCCAGACCTCTGCCGCCGCCAGTGTGTCCCGCGAGGTGTGTTTATTCCTTTCTCCCCGCCCCTGTTTCAGTTCTCCCCTCCCAAAGCCTCTCTTGGCCTTCTGGCCTGCAGGTGAACCTCTGGGGTGTGGAGGGAACCTGTGCCCACCGCTGTATTTCCTCTGGACGGCGGTTTCTCTTTGACAGGCTGAACTCATTTCCAGATTATAGGCGGTCGTGGTGTTTTACCTTGAATCAGTGTTTTTAAGCCAAACATACGGAATACATTGGGCATGTCTGTTGACCCACAAACTGCATTCCTTTGCCTCCAGGTTTCTCCCTTGGCCTTAACACACACAAATTACATAAAACTCCCCGCACAAAAGGGATAGCACAAAATGTGTTTGGAATCAAAACTATAAGCATGACTCCTGACAGATTTGTGATTTATTTTTGGTTCTCTCTGAGCCTGCTGGACTCACACAGCTGCAGACTGGTCATGCAGCATTATTAGGCTGTTATCCCTAGTTACCAGCAAAGCTAGTCAGAGAGAGGCTAGAAGGTCATCTGCCCCCTCTGCTTTGAGTTACACACGCTGCCCCTGAAGAAACCTAGAGAGATGGCTGACTGTACCTTCCTTTTTAAATTTCTTAAAACTCTACAAATTCTCGTTTTCCCTGAACTCTTCCTCTGGTGGTCAGAAACTGAAGCTGTTTGGCTTGTGCATTCAGCTGGTGGCAGATGGGGTGGGGGTTAAGAGTTACACATGTATTTCCAAAGTGAAGAGGAGAATGGTGCCTTATAAGTTACGCAGCCATACACTTGGTTTGCCCAGGACGGGCTTAGTTTTTCTCCAGCATAATCATTAACAGTGTCCTTTTTCATTCTCAAAAGTGTCCCAGTTAGAATAACAAAGTCTATAAATCACCCAACTCATAAACTATGTTAAGGCCATGAAGAGACAGTGAGCTCCTCAAAATAGAAGTTCATTTCCATCCAAGAGCCACAAGTGCTGGAAGCTGGAGTTTTAGAGGAAGAGGATTGCCCTGGCTTGGGTGATCTGGAAGGCTTCACAGAGAAAGGGGGATTTAGGGAGGACTTGAATGGCTGCGGGGGTGGGTAGAGAAAGAAGAAGATGGAAGGGATTTCATCTTTGCCATTTACAGAGTAGGCACTTACGTACTATCATTTAATCAGAACAACTTCATGAAATTGGTTATGTTATTATACCCATTTTTATATAAGGAAAATGAGGCTTAGGGAGGCCGAAGTCCCACAAATAAGAAGCAGAGCTGGGATTCAACCACAAATCTATGATATTTTCAAGTAGCTGTTATGCTGCTCTCAGAGAAGAAAATGGTGCAAAGTGCAGAGCTGGGAATGTGCACATCATGGTCTGCGGGTGGTGAATAAATAGTCCAGTCATGCTGGGGTGATGGTGGGTGCTGACAGGGGAAAGGAATGCTACCATCTCCTTTGGTCACCCAGTTCCAACATTTGTGACAAGTCCCAAAGTATTCCTTTTGTACTCATTCTTCTGGTTGCTGTTTGGGCTTGGCTGAGCGCAAGAGGTTAGTTGTTTGCCTTCCTCTGCAGATCATTTCTTCTTACCTCAGAGCCATGAAGTAGTAGTACTTGGTCCCTACTTTCTGTTTTCTGCTTAGCCTTCTCTTCATTCTGGGGATCTGACTGATCCTGACTCAGCTGCCACTTGCAATGAAGCCGCACTAATGTAAATGACTTTTGGAAAGGTTCTCTGAGGGCTTCTTTGTACCCAGCAATAGGTTGCTCCCCTTGCTCTGCTTTTTCTATTCCTCTTACCTTTTTTCTCCAGAGTCAGAGCATATGGCTTCTCATATTTATATAGCTCCCTCTCTAGAGAACACAGTGCCCTCTTTAGTGCTTCAATGCACAAGTTACCTTTGCAGCCACTTATCTCAAATGCTTTGCTGTCACTTTGGTCCACAGCCATGTGGGCAGTTCTTGGTATCCAGGAAACAGAGGGGCCTTTTCTGTTATCAGGAGGAAGAATTGCTAGCCAGAGGAGTTACTATAGGACTGGGGTCTTGGGTGCAGAATTTTCTTATTGCTTTGGAGAAGAATTTAGTGTTGAAAAAGAACCCCTCCCTCCCCAGTGCTGTTCAGTATGAATGGGCCTTGGCTTCCGCATTCTCGAAGTAGGCATAGAGAAATGGGCATAGGGTGAACCTAACGGTAAACTTCCCCCAGGGGCCCTTTGCATAGAACCCTGACAGATAATCTCTGCCTTCTCTACTTCTCTCTAGGGTGGGAGTAGGAGATAGGGAAGAATGTGGTTAAAAAACAAAAACAGGCCTGGCCAGATAGCTTAGTTGGTTAGAGCATGGTGCTGGTAACACCAAGGTCCAGGGTTCAAGCCCTGTACTGGCCAGCTGCCAAAAAAAACCCCCCAAAAAACCCCAACCTATCTAGTAACTAGATAGGGCAATTTATACTACCAGAAGTCTCCTATCTTGCCCCTTTTGAGCTGAGGTTTTCCGGTGGGGCAAGGGAGGATAAGATACATGGAAGATGATTCTAGGTTTCCCTAGATTCTCTTTTTTCTTTTTTTTTTAAAAGATGACCGGTAAGGGGATCTTAACCCTTGACTTGGTGTTGTCAGCACCACGCTCACCCAGTGAGCTAACTGGCCATCCCTATATGGGATCCGAACCCACGGCCTTGGTGTTATTAGCACCGCACTCTACCGAGTGAGCCACGGGCCGGCCCTCTTTTTTCTTAAAGTCATACAACTTGATAAGTGTTCCTTGCTATGTTTTACTCCTCTAATCCCCTACCCACTTTGCTAAACTTTTTTTTTTTTGGCAGCTGATCAGTACAGGGATCCGAATCCTTGACCTTGGTGTTACAAGGTTGCACTCTAACCAACTGAGCTAACCGGCCAGCCCTAAACTCTTGTATCTGGCAAATCTTCCCTGACTGAAGAAGCCAGAGTGTATGGACTTTCACCTTCTTGTTAACATAGTAGTTCTCAACTGGGGGAGATTTTGCTCTTCAGGGAACATTTGGCAAGTCTGGAGACATTTTTGATGGTCATGACTGGGAGTGCAATGGACATCTAGTGGGCAGAGGCCAAGAATGCTGGCAAGTATCCTGCAGTGCACAGGAGAGCCCCTACAACAGGGAATTATCCATTCTAAAATACCAGTAATGCTGAAATTTTGGGAAACCCTGCTCTAATTAGTGTGTCTCACTTTGTCTCTCTCATCCCATCCTCTCTCAGAAGCAGGCTGAGATAGAGTTCAAAAATAATCCTCTGGTAAGAGAGGATTATTGTGCCCTAAGCTGAACCATAGGCTTAATGGTCTCATTCCACCAGCAGAATGCTCATACCTGGAGTGAAATAGTAATTCTTAAAGTACTTGCCGCATTTTTTTGAAGATTATTAATGCATGTAAAAATATTAGAATAATGCCTGGCACACTCAATAAATATTTAAAAACAAAACAAAAACCCTGTCTCTGTTGTTGTGGGCACTGTAGTTTAATGTATTATATTTAGAACTGTGATAGCTAGAGAGATGCAAGGGATGAAGGTTAATAATAGCAGATACCTCTCTCTCCTCAGAGTTCTTATCAGCAGTCGGACTTTCCAAAGCTTTAAAAATAAAAGTTCCAGGGCCGGCCCGTGGCTCACTCGGTAGAGTGTGGTGCTGATAACACCAAGGCCACGGGTTCGGATCCTATATAGGGATGGCCGGTTTGCTCACTGGCTGAGCGTGGTGCTGACAACACCAAGCCAAGGGTTGAGATCCCCTTACCAGTCATCTTTTTAAATAAATAAATAAATAAAAGTTCCAGCAGTAGAAACTGTTCTAGTTTATTTATTTATTTATTTTTTAAAAGATGACTGGTAAAGGGATCTTAACTCTTGACGCTCTCCCAAGTGAGCTAACCAGCCATCCCTATATAGGGATCCGAACCTGTGGCCTTGGTGTTATCAGCACCACACTCCCAAGTGAGCCACGGGCCAGCCCTCTGTTCTAGCTTTAAACTGAACCTGCTGGGGAAAGTGTCTGTTTCTTGGGTTGTGAGAGGTGTTGGTTATACATGGTTATCATGGGGGCTTCTCAGGGTAGGAGAGTTTTCCTGGACACCTGGATAATGGAGCATAAGGATTCTTTTCCCTATTTTGCAAATGGGGAGAAAAAAACAACCAGGGTTGATACGCCCAAGAGCATGGCTTGATATACCAGCTACCCCAAATGCTCTACTTTTGACTACTTGAGTGCCCAAAGAAGCATAAGAAATCAGGGGATTGGCTGGCCAGTTAGCTCAGTTGGTTAGAGCTCTGTGTTGATAACACCAAGGTCAAGGGTTTGAATCTCTACTTGCCAGCTGCCAAAAAACCAAAAAACACACCAGAGTATTATTTACTGCTCTTCTGTAAATTAACATTCAAGGAGACAGTTTAATAGAGAGAAAAGAGCACTTTGCCATTAACTAGATGTGTGTGGAATGCTTAAAGCTTAGCTAAAATACTTATGATGTGTCTGCTAATATCCTCATTCATGAAATGAGGACCCCTAAGTTTATCTGACCTACCTTCTCTGTGAAGAATGAGTGGATGTGTGTGATGCCCTACATGAGTATAAAGTAAATGGAAATGGGTAGAGATGCTTGTGTTAGTTTCTCATTCTCACATCTCTCCAGGAGTCCCGACCTCTGCATGTTGTGCTGGGAAATGAAGCCTGTGACTTGGACTCCATGGTGTCTGCTCTTGCCTTGGCTTTTTACCTGGCAAAGGTGAGTACCTAGAAACAGGAGTCCTATAGAATGAAAAGATTTGTATTCAAGATCCAGTTCTGCCACTTGCTAGCATTTAGCTTTGAATAAGTTAAATCCTTTAACTTTGCTGAGTCTCACATTACTGTGTGTAAAATCTGAAATGATAATACTTTTAAAGGCTAACATTCTCCCTGCCTTTCGTTTGTCACGACAGGTCCTATGGTCATTTATGAATTATGTTGACTTCCCCTTTGGATTTCTTGAGAGGAAGAGGTTTGCTGAACACCGGGAACTTCCTTACTTCTGTCCCAAGGACGGTTTTTAGGTTTGTTCTACACTGGAGTGGAAAGAGACATCGCCCCAATTTGGCCACAGGAAGCATTTTTGTCCATGCGCTTCGTCGACTTGAATCACATTCACTTTATGGTCACGTTTGCTCTGGCAGCCATTCCCCCCTTAACCCACTCACTTTGCCACCAACCCACTCTTCTTTCTTTTCTTTTCTTTTCTTTTTTTTCTAAAAAGATGACCGGTAAGGGGATCTTTACCCTTGACTTGGTGTCGTCAGCACCACGCTCAGCCAGTGAGCGAACCGGCCATCCCTATATGGGATCCGAACCCGGAGCCTTGGTGTTATCAGCACCGCACTCTCCCGAGTGAGCCACGGGCCGGCCCGATAATACAGTATTTTGCAGTGTTGCTGTGAGGAATAAATGATAAATATATTTTGAGGGATTTGTAAACCATAAAGTGATATTCAAACAGTTTATAATTGAGTTCCTGGTGGGTATCAGTGATCAAGTGTGTATTCCTCTTGCCCAGGTTAGCTCTTGAGGACTTCTCTGCAGCATCGCATCTAGAACTAAGTCTTTTCCTTGAGTTATCTTGTTGACCTTCATGTTATTGCTAAGAAGGAGGGAGGGCAAGAGTCATCCTTTTATTTTTATAGACTGGGTAATGTGGTTTTGAGAAAGGTGGTAACTTACCCAAGATCATGTCTTTGTTCCCAGTAGTCTTGTTATTTTTTCCAGTCTATTCCAAAACATCGTGATACCTTCTTTTCACTTTCCTATCCAGACAACTGAGGCCAATGATGTCTTTGTGCCAGTTTTAAATATAAAACGTTCTGAGCTCCCTCTACGAGGTGACAATGTCTTCTTCCTTCAGAAGGTTTGCATTCCAGAGACTATCTTGATTTTTCGGGATGAGATTGACCTCCATGCGTTGCACCAGGCTGGCCAACTCACTCTCATCCTTGTTGACCATCATGTCTTACCCAAGTAAGTAGAAGGAAATTAAATTAATATATATGATAAATTATCATATATCATGTTGGGCTCTGATGAGTGAGATACAAAGAGAGGAAGAAAGTGTTTTTGCTTTCAGGACTGTCATAGGTTAATTGTAATTGATGCATCATATCAAATATAGAAAATCAACAGAAGAGGGCCGGCCCATGGCTCACTTGGTGTGGTGCTGATAACACCAAGGCCACAGGTTCGGATCCCTATATAGGGATAGCTGGTTGGCTCACTTGGGAGAGCGTGGTGCTAACAACACCAAGTCAAGGGTTAAGATCCCCTTACTGGTCATCTTTTAAAAAAAAGAAAACAAATCAACAGAAGATATTGTCAGTTCTCCACTTATATGTCTGTGGTGTAAAGACATACACTATAATAAAAAGAAATAGAAACATAGTGAGTTCAAACTAAAGGATAACTCAAAAATCATTTAAATCTGCTTTTGGTATGATTATTTTAAGATTTTATGGTAGAATTATTATAATAGAAACCTTTGAAAAAATGGTTGAAACTCTTATTTTTAATTTTTAAAAAGTTAGCAACAGTATGTCCTACATAAACTCTTGGGATTTTAAAATAATATATTATGGTTGAATCTATGAATATCTCATTAGTATCTTTTAAAAAGTGTACACATCTATAATAATTTCATCCTTAATTTAGGCCTCGAAAAAGACACCAAAAAAAGCAACACAAATATGAGACTTACCTAAGTCTGACTGGTTCCTACTAATATTAGAGTATATATTTTGTCCTTGAGCACACTGTGATTGTAGCAGGACATTGACAGAGGGTAGCCTAAGAGCAGTAATCCATCTATGCATTTACACATTAATAAACTTTTATTTAGAGGATGAAGGTGAAGCAGAGTCCTGGTTCTCAAGAAGCTTTCAGTCAGGAAGAGGGAACTAGGTAAATAGATCGTTGCGATAGGTGTTAGAGGTAAGTGGAACAGTAGGTACACAAAGGATGGAGTGGTTCATTATACCAGAGGAGAGTCGGCGGCATCAGGAAACGTTTCCTAGCAGAGTTGACCCTTGATCTCAGTCTTGAAGGAGGACTAGATGTTTGCTCAGTAAATGGGGAGGGAAGGTGGTTAGGAAAGGCATTCCAGGCAGAGGGAGTAATTAATAGAAGCAAAGGCAGGCAGGTGTGAATAGCATGGTGAGTTAGGGGAGCTTAGGAGGGCCCTTGGTTGGAAGTAGGTGATTGGTTAAGAAACTATTGTAATAATTCAAATGAAAGATATTGAGGGCCTAGAACAAGGCAGTAGCAGAGGGTTGGAGAAGAAGTCATTGATAAGAACTGAGATAGAAGCCTCAGGACCTGGTGACCTACATGGAATTTGAGTATTGAGTGGATTGAGGGAACAGGAAAGATTTAGATGTTGACTATCATGGGTGTCAATTGGAAAGGTAACCCTAAAGAATAACGAATATGTGGATAAGATATTTGCAGCAGATGTTTCACAAAATTCACTTGTATACTATTTAAAGACAAGTTCAGTTATAACATTAAAGAATTGAGAAGAGTAAAGCAGAGGTAGAAGTGACCTAAATGTTTGCCTCAGACATCTGCATTTTCCTTCATGGGGGCTGGGGGTGGGGGTGGATTTTGGTTAGAAGCAGCTGGAGCTCTCCTGTCTATCTTTCTTTCTTTTTTTCCATACCCTCCCCCCTCCGCAGAAGTGACGCAACCCTAGAGGAGGCAGTAGCAGAGGTGCTAGACCATCGACCCATCGAACAGAAACACTGCCCTCCCTGCCATGTTTCAGTTGAGTTGGTTGGGTCCTGCGCTACCCTGGTGACTGAGAGAATCCTGCAGGGGGCACCAGAGATCTTGGATAGGCAAACTGCAGCCCTTCTGCATGGTGAGGGTGGTTTTGGTGTTGAGACCTGACTACTTCCTCTATTATCATCTCAGAGAAGGAGAGTAGAAAAGTCTAGACTCTTGCAGTCTAACCATATGCTCTCAGAGCCATTCAAGCTCGTGCCAGAGGATGGTATTCTTTCTGGGGACAGTTAGGCATTTGTTTAAAGGCCTGTGGGATACTTTGTTGGCGAAAGCAGAAAGGAAGTACAACAGACTAAAGTTTCATTTTAGAAGCTTTGTATAATGGAAGGAGGACTAGCCAAAGAAGCAGGAAACAATTCTAATACCTGCTCCACCAGGATATAGTTATGTGACCTTCAGCAAATCTCTTAACCTTTCTTATTCTCATTTTCTCTATTTGTAAAAAATAAAAATAAAAAAAAGAGTATTGGACTAGACTATCTATTCCAACCTTTAAGATTCTTTGATGGAATTTGGCCTACTGAAGAGATGTCATCTCTCTCTGACTAGGTTGCGAGATCTCCAAGGATTGAGATACTCAGGCTTCCTTTCTACCTCTTTCCCATTTCCCTGCCTACATTTTAGTTTGGATTTGGGAGGTCTTACTCAGGACACAGTTGGTCCCAGTTTCTCATTTTGTTTTCAGTTGAGTTTGCCATACAAGTCTCCTCTGTATTGTGTCCATTTGTGTATTCTAGTAGTCATGAGTGGAGGGTCACAGAATTCAAGTTCCACCATTTCCCTTCTCCATAGGAACCATTATCCTGGACTGTGTCAACATGGACCTTAAAATTGGAAAGGCAACCCTAAAGGACAACACATATGTGGAGAAACTGGAGGCCCTCTTTCCAGATCTGCCCAAGAGAAATGAAATCTTTGATTCCCTGCAAAAAGCAAAGTTTGATGTGTCAGGTATGAAGTGGTAAGCTGACTTCTCTGTTTGCCACATGGGAAAACAGGTAGGCAAACCTTGTTCATTATATTCTTGAACACCGCCAAAATAATTTCAGAGCACTCATAATGATTTAAGCTTTATACTAGAGGGAAATGAGGTAGCATATGAGTCTGATCTTGAGCTAACCAGTCATTTACTGGATTGTTCTATCCTGGCTCTTGGTTGGGATGATGAGGAATATACTAAGAGTCTCAGAGGTTGCAGTCTTACCAGAGAATATAGTACAGATAAATAAAATATGCTGAGGATATACTAAATTATCAGAGTAAGATCTATATAATTGGTTAAGGAGGCAGAAGGCACATTTAGTGTGAATATGCAAAGGACAGAGGAAGAGAACAAAAAAAAAAAATCTTCCATAATCTCTTACCCAGCTACCATCTGTTGACATAGAAAGGAAGGAAGAAAGAAAGAAAAAGAAAAGTACCACATGTACTTTTAGAAAATTAAAACAATATAGAAAGGAGAAAAAAGTAAAAGCCTTCTCTCCAAAGTCCCTTGCATGAAAGGTAACTATTGCAACCCAATTATTTAAAGTAATTTTTGATTATATACATTTTCAGTTATCTCTCCTTTTCATTGCACCAGAGAGAAGCTGTGTTTTTCCTCTTTTCTCACTCATCTTGGTGTCCTTGCTCTCCTGGTCTTGGGCCCTGGGGCTCCCTTGCTTGACTCCTAGTCTTGCATTCACTTTCTAGGACTGACCACTGAGCAAATGCTGAGAAAGGACCAGAAGACCATCTGTAGACAAGGCATCAAGGTGGCAATTAGTGCAATATATATGGATTTGGAGGTAAGAGCAAGATGTGTGTGTGGGTCGGGAGAGAAAATCTTTAGTTATGTATGTAACCTTGCTTCTTATTCTTGGCTCACTTCCAAAATTTATCTTGTGCCTGTCTACTTTTCTCCACCTCCACTGTGATCACCACAGTCCCTCAGTCCCTCATCTCTCACTGCACCACTGTCATAGCCTGGTACTGGTTTCCCTGCCTCCACTTTTGCCCCTCTACAAACCTTTCTTCCCACAGCAGCCAGAAAGATCTTTTTAAGATATAAATCAGGTCATATCAGATTATCCCTCTCTTTACTGCCTTTTCATTGTACTTCTCATAAAATCTAAAAAGGCCTTACCATGGTTTACACAGCTCTACTTGATCTGGCCCTTGTCTTTGGCTTTCTCTCTGGCCTCATCTCATTCCAGCCCCATTCTTGCACTCAGTACTGCAGCCACGCTGGTTTTCTTTCTGTTCCTCGGACCATTAAGTTTATTCCCAACTCAGGGTCTTTGAACTCTTCTCTCTGCAGAGTTGGCTCCTTCTTATCATTCAGACTCATTCTTATCATCTCAGCTCAGATGTCTCCTGTTTTGAGAAGTTTTTCCTGACTACCCTAACTAAAGTAATACCCCTGTGTTCAAAAAATCTCAAGCAGTTATCTTGTTTTATTTTCTTCATAGCACTCAACACACTGAAATGATCTTGTTTCATGGTTTCCTTGTTTATTTGGCTGTATTCCTCTGCTACTTTATCAGTTCCACCAGAGCATGGATTCTGTCTCTTTTATTTCTGTTATATATCCAGCACTTTTGACGGTGCTTGGCACATTGTGGATGCTCAGTAAATTTTGTTGAGTTTTTTTGTTTGAATTTTTGATGAATGAACATAATTTTAATAATGGTGTTTTAATACTTTGTTTTAATCTGTGATACTGTGAAATATATATTTGGTTTTTGACCCCATTTCCTAGCACACAAATCCTAATTCTAAGAATCTCCAAAGTGGTGTCTTTTTTTTTTTTTTTTTCCTTTTTGTCTTTTTTCGTGACTGGCAACGGATCGCAACCCTCAGTGTTGCACCCGTACCGGACCGGGACCGGCAACGGGATCGCAACCCTTGGTGTTGCGCCCGCACCTCGCTCAGCCAGTGAGCGGCCGGTCTGTATGTGGGATCCGAACCCTCGGCGGGAGCGCCGCCGCACTCCCAAGCGGCGCACTGTAGCAGTGCGCCACTGGGCCGGCCCCAAAGTGGTGTCTTTTTGTTTGCTAATGAATTGGCTGGTGGCTGGCAGTCCCTAGCTGCCAGGATGAGACTGGTCATTGGAAAGATCAAGGCAGGACTAGAGGATTGGGACTTGCAGCCCTACCTTCTTCCAACCTCCAGGGAAGTTAAGTTGATCACCCATGCCCAGTGATTTAATCAGTGAAGCCTACTTAGAAGCTTTGGTAAAACCCCAAAAGGACTGGGTTCAAGGAGCTTTCAGATAGCTGAACATATGGAGGTTCCTGGAGGGCACACCTGGGGAGGGTGTGGAAGCTCTGCACCCTTTCGCACATGCTTTGCCCTATGTATCTCTAAATCTGTATCCTTTGTAATGTCCCTTATAATAAACTGGTAAACATAAGTGTTTCCCTAAGTTTTGTGAGCCACTATAGCAGATTAATCAAACCCAAGGTAGGGGTCATGGGAACCCTGATTTATAGCTGGTCAGAACCACAGACAAAATAACCTGGGGTTTTCAACTGGCATCTGAAGTGGGGGAAGTACTATGGGACTAAGCTCTCAACCTGTGGGATCTGACATTATCTCCAGGTAGGTAGTGTCAGAATTGAATTAAAGGATACCCAGCTGGTGTCCACTGCAGAACTGATTGCTTGCTTGGTGGGTGGGGCAAACCCGTACACATTTGGTCACAGAAGGTTTCTATGTTGATTGTGGTATGAGAGAGAGGAAAAACAGTTTGGTTTTTCTACAATATTGTATTGGTTTAAATCATTGAATAACTTGATCTGAACACATACTCTCATACTCTGGACAGCTTTCTACTGAGTACTATGTAAAAATACTACATAATTAAGTAAAATAGCATGGTCTCTTCCCTTGCAGTTCAAAACATAGTTTGGGAAACAAACATAAGAATGCAAAAGGCTTACCAAGTACCATAATCACAGTACAAATTGACACGTTAGAAATGCCAAGGATAGAAGAAAGCCCTGATCTGAAATAGGTGTTGGTATTATTCATTGGAAAAAATAGTGCATGAGATTTTGGAGAAGAGTGTAGATTGGCAAAGAAGGAAGAGCCAAGGATGCAGTTGTCACATCTGCTCTTTGTAAGCCCCATTGTTCTGTTTGAGGATAAAAATACCCACAAGACAAAGACCTTGTTTGATTGCAAGAGCAAGAGAGTCTTGAACATGCCAGGCGCATTACATAAACTATCATGTTTTAGTTCTTAAAACAATCATGTTTGGTAAATGTTGTGTCCTTTACAAACAGGGAAACTTAGGTATAGGGAGGTTAATAAAACTCCTTGATTGTATAGCTAATAGGTAATAGAACTGCTTTTCTTCTTTTTTTTTTTCATAAGGATTTTTTTTTTTTTTTTTAAAGATGACCAGTAAGGGTATCTTAACTCTTGACTTGGTGTTGTCAGCACCACGATCTCCCAAGTGAGCAAACCGGCCATCCCTACATAGGGATCCGAACCTGTGGCCTTGGTTCCATCAACAGCACACTCTCCCAAGTAAGCCGCGGGCTGGCCCTATAGAGCTGATTTTCAAACCAATTCTGTCTTAATCCAAAGCCTGTATTCTCTTATCCTACCATACTGCTGCTAAGCACACAGATAACACAGAATAAATACTTGATCCTTTTTTATGGAGTGCAAGTCCCAGGTTAACATGCAAAGAAACCCTCATAAGGATTTTTTTTTTTTTTTTTAAAGATGACCAGTAAGTGGATCTCAACCCTTAGCTTGGTGTTGTCAGCACCACGCTCAGCCAGTGAGCCAACCGGCCATCCCTATATAGGATCCGAACCCGTGGGCTTGGTGTTATCAGCACTACACTCTCCAGAGTGAGCCACAGGCCGGCCCTCTTCATAAGGATTTTTTTTGTTGATGGTGACAAGAAGGGTCCAGTTGTAGCCCTCATGCCTCTCTATTTCTTCCCTTTCAGACCTTTCTGCAGAGATCTGACCTCCTTGCAGATCTCCATGCCTTCTGCCATGCTCACAGCTATGATGTCCTGGTCGCCATGACTATCTTTTTCAACACTCACAATGAGCCAGTGCGGCAGTTGGCTATTTTCTGTCCCCATGTGGCACTCCGAATGATGGTGAGTCTCTATCCCTTCTCCAACCTGAAGGCCTTACAGAGACTGCTTTGTATGCACCTCTCTGCTCTACAGCTCTGTGCTGTAAAGACTTCTCCTTGGTTCTTATATTTATATATTTACACACAGGTCCCTTGACCTGTTTCCAGACTTTCTCCTGCCTTTTTTCTATTTTCTATATATGTGAATATCCTTAGTTATACCATTGTTGATAGGTGGATTCCAAAGAGAATTAGAGACACAATTACTACTCAGAAGGAACTTTAAATCTGGTTAGAAGGAAATGTTGTAAATCTGAAGTTAGTTCCGTTCTTGGTTTATTTTATTTATTTATTTATTTTTTATTTTTATTTTTTTAAAAGATGACCAGTAAGGGGATTCTAACCCTTGACTTGGTGTTATCAGCACCATGCTCTCCCAAGTGAGCCACGGGCTGGCCCCCATTTTTGGTTTAATTGTTAATTCCTCACTCCTGAAAATCTGTTTCTTTCTACTCTACTGCTTTGAAAATTAAAAACACAAGAAACCTTTTCTACTACTTACCATGTAGGGATTAATTATTCTGTGTAGTGTGAACTCTGTAGAGAAGTGATCTAGGACCAGGTTTGTTTTCTTTCTTGATCTTCCATTTGGCTGCCTTTCCCACCTTCTGCCCTTTCTGTTCCTCTTGATTACTGATTAGCTCAGGGAAGAATTTAAAAGTGGACTTAAGGCCGTCCAGGAACTCTTTGGGTAGCTTGGGCTATGTGAGGATGGCTAAAGACAATACAGGCAGATAATCCTTTGCAGTCATAAAAGTTACCTCTGCCTTTCCTGCCTGTCTTTGCCTTTGCCTTTTCCCCCAGGAAGCAAATGTGAGTTCATTCAACATAAGGTAGTTTGACACTGTGGAAAGAACTACAGTTTCCAAAGTCAGGTAGACATACTCTTCTGTCCCAGGTTTGCTATTTCCTTGCTCTTTGAGCTAAGACAAATCAATTGACTTCTTTTTTTTTTTTTTAAGATGACCAATAAGGGGATCTTAACCCTTGGCTTGGTGTTGTCAGCACCATGCTCAGCCAGTGAGTGAACCAGCCATCCCTATATAGGATCCAAACCCGTGGCCTTGGTGTTATCAGCACCGCACTCTACCGAGTGAGCCACGGGCTGGCCCCTCGATTGACTTCTGAGTCTGTAAATGGCATAACACTCATACTTACTGATTAGTCTAATGTGATTGTTAAACACAATATCATATTAAAGCACATTGCTGGGCAGAGTAAGCACTCAGTAAATCATGACTCTTACTAATCATGTCATGAAAGGAAGGGTGCTTTTACCGTAAGAAGTGCCTCTCCCACTTTCCTGAATCTAGTCCCCTCTGTGCTACTCTTCTGAAGCTGTGCAGATGTCTGATGACTCTACCGTTGCCCAGGCTGCCTCTATGTTGGGAAATAGGAGTCCTTTTTTTCACAGTCTGCCTTACCATCTCCTCCCTTCCTCCTACATTAGGGATAGTATAGTATATAGATTTAGAATGCTGGCTTTGATGACATACCTGGGTTCAAGTGTCAGTTTTGCTTCATGCAAACCATGACCTTAGGCAAATTATATAATATACCTAAGCCTCAATTTACCTACCAGTAAGTGAGGATAACAACAGTACTGATCTTACAAGGTAATTGTGAGAATTAAATATTTGTAAACAGCCAAGTTGGCACCGTCCTTGGCATATCTCCCACCCCCATTTTGTTCTATTTATTCTGTCTGCCTCTATCCTTCCTTGACCTCTAGATAGATTCTAGTCCCACCCCAGCTAAAAACAGAGATCAAGTTCTCAAGCACAGGTATATACTTGGAAACAGCATTAGGTTAGGAGCTGGGGGTCCTGGATTCTGGTTCAGACTCTGCCATTGTCTACATGATTTTGCTTAAGACTTAATCTCTCTGAGCTTTGGTTTCCTTATTAATAAAATGAAAGATAAGATCTAAAATGTGTCTTCTCTTTCTAAAATACTGTGTATATTAGTGATGTTGCTTTTGTTGCAAGCAATAAAACTGAACTCAGTATGGCAATTTTATTTATTTATTTTTTTTAAAAGATGACCGGTAAGGGGATCTTAACCCTCGACTTGGTGCTGTCAGCACCACGCTCAGCCAGTGAGCGAACCGGCCATCCCTATATGGGATCCGAACCCGTGGCCTTGGTGTTATCAGCACCGCACTCTACCGAGTGAGCCACAGGCCAGCCCAGTATGGCAATTTTAAAAAGTGTTCTCTATAAAGAAAACCTTTCACTTAGAAGTCTTGGCTTTTTGCTACACTAAGTAATATATTACTTCCTTGTTATTGTCTCCTTTTTAGATCTGTGGAATCCTGGAACACTCCCACTCTCCATCCCTGAAGCTGACCCCTGCCCCAAGCACCCACCCTAACCTCCAAGCCTATCTTCAAGGCAACACCCAGGTCTCTCGAAAGAAACTTCTGCCTCTGCTCCAGGAAGCCCTGTCAGCATATTTTGACTCCACAAAGATTCCTTCAGGGCAGCCTGAGACAGTGGGTATATCCAGGGAGCAGGTAGACAAGGATTTGGACAGGGCGAGTAACTCCCTAATTTCTCGACTGAGTCAAGATGAGGAGGACCCTCCACTGCCCCCCACACCCATGAACAGCTTGGTGGATGAGTGCCCTCTGGATCAGGGGCTGCCTAAGCTCTCAGCTGAGGCCATCTTTGAGAAGTGCAGTCAGATCTCGTTGTCACAGTGTACCACTGCATCTGTGTCAAAGAAGTAACTGTTGGGAGGGGAGGGGACAGAGGGCGGGGTTGCTCGACCCATCTCAAATGCATGTTTTGATATGTTCTGGAGATTTAGCAATTCTGTCTTCATTGCTCCAGGGTGTGGTATACTGTTCTTATAAAACTGGGAGGAGAATGAAGTGAAAGAAAGCAGCTGCTTTAAGAATGGCTTTCTACCTTTTCCCCCCAATCTCTGCCAATCAGACATTTTATTATTTAAATCTTCACTGACTTTCCTTTATTTCATTTGCCATGGGTACAGGGTGATACACCCACAGTCCCAGCAGATTGAGACAAAAAGAATGTAGACCCCAAAAGTACCCTTGGTTAGGATCTTGAACAGAACCAATATCTGTCTTGGAACGATGTATTCATTGATTATCTCTGTGTATTCATTTATTCACTTATTCATTTAAGTATTTATTGAATACCTGCTTCAAGCTAGATAGAAAAGAGAGCATACTTTGGAAAGTCTTATTCAGTTTTCAGCCTTCAACAGGTTTCCAGCTTCATGCCTCTTCTTTCTGCCCCTGGGTAGGTGATGGTGTTTGATTCAGAGAGGATGAATTTCTTTCTTTCTTTTTATTTTTTTTTAAAGATGACCGGTAAGGGGATCTTAACCCTTAACTTGGTGTTATCAGCATCACACTCTCCCAAGTGAGCCACGGGCCAGCCCTAGACATCTATGAATTTCTGTTCTGAGCTTATTGTGACTGTTTTAGGTCTTGTATGAGGCAGATAGGAGGCCATTATCTTCTGTCCTGATCAGGTAGCCTGGTTCTCTTGTTTCTTTAGATCCCTCCATCCCAGAGCCACAGGAACCCTGAAGAGACTCTGAAGACCCCTTGTTCTTGAGAGTTCAGGAGGCACTCAAGAAGGCCTTAAGACCTCGTAGGCACTCTGCCCAAAAGATAGCAGAACTGGAATGAGAGCCCTGGGTCTGTGTCCCTTCCCTTAGTGGGTTTATCCATTTCTTGTTCATATCTGTCTCTCCTTGCTCATTTTGAAAGGAAGCATGGAGTTCTAATACTGACTGCCATAAACGGTGTGTCTTTTGGCAAGACACTTCACTACTCTAGGTCTCATTTTCCCCATCTGTAAAACAGGGTTTGAACCAGATGTTCCCTGGTGATCTGTGATCTGCCTCTTGCTGCCATTCTTTCTCTCTTCTGCTTCTCTGTGTTTTTCTTTTGTTTTCCCTGGGAATGCTCAGGGTCACTGGATTGTCTGTATTTATGTGTGACTGTACCAAGGGACTCATGTAGCATATACAGGGGTATGATTCATACTAACATGACCCAGCAAAAAGCTCCTTCCCACCATCTTGTTTTGCATGTGTAGAGTCTCCCTTTTTTCTTCAGACTAACCTGATCCCCCTTTTCCTACCCCACAGATCTATTCCATGTACATTGCCAACAGTTTCACTGAACAGTGGGGTTTGTGGTAGTTTTGGCATGACATCTTCCAGTATGAGGGGGACAGTCTGACTTCATTTTGAGAGTATGATGTCTGTAGTCATTTGGAAGGTAAAAATTGTTGTGTGATCACTGAACCAAAGGAATTTATGTTTTGTAACTTGGGTACTTTATTTTGAATTTTTTAAAAAGTATTAAAATACATTTTTCCTGTTTGGGGTCTTATTGTCTCTTTTTACAACTATGATCAAACTTTTCCCTCTCATAATTGTTTCAGCCTCCTAAAGAGTCTCCTGCTGGGCTGGCCACTTAGCTCAGTCAGTTAGAGCATAGCCTTATAACACCAAGTTTAAGGGTTCGGATCCCCATCCCAGCCAGCCACAAAAACAAAACAAAAATTCATCTTCCTTCTTCCTACTATACTTAATGTCTTCTTTCTGTTGACTCCTTCTGGGAATAAGAAGCAGTAGGCTTCTGTCTCCCCTTATCCTCAGCCTTTCCTTTATGTTTCTTCTCTCAGAACTCTCCTAATAAATACAAGTTGACCCTTGAACAAAGCAAGGGTTAGGGTGCTGACCCTAAATTCCTGATGAAAATTTGCATATAACTTTTGACTCCCTAAAAAAAACTTGACTACTAATAGCCTACTGTTAACCAGAAGCTTTACTGATAACATAAACAGTTAACACATATTTTGTATGTTATATGTATTATATACTGTATTCTTAAAGTAACCTAGAGAAAAGAAAATGTTATAAAGAAAATCATAAAGAAGAGAAAATATATTTACAGTGCTGTATGTATATTTATTGAAAAAAATCCACATGTAAGTAGACCTGCACAGCTCAAAGCCCTGTTGTTCAAGAGTCAGCGGTACTTCTGTTGTTCCAGTTTTGCTTATGCTTGAAAACTAGGCCCAAGGTAGTCTTACAACCAAAATAGTTTCTGCTTTTGCTTTTTTTTTTTTTTTTTTTTTTAAAAAGCAGCTTCCAGAAGGTTATATGGGGTCTGGAAAGGAGAACAAATTGCTTTCCTAGACTCACCCAAGACTAGCCACCACAGAAAATGCACTCTTCTCCCCAAAACCCGCCCCCACACAGGAGGCAGGGTTTTTCTTTTGGACAAACCTGCTCCTTGGGAGGGAAGGTGGCAAAACCTGTTTGAAAATGAAGTTGCCTCCCTTCCACACCTCTCCTCCTCAGAGGCAAGAGCAACAACAGTTGAGACAAAAAAGAGTAAAGAAGTGTTGAGGGCTGTGACACCCAGCTCCCTAAACTGTTTAAGGAAGGTAACAGGAAGACGTGAAGATGGGAACTATACAAGAGGCAGGAAAAAAGACATTAAATCTTGGGTAAGTACGATCTTGGCTCACTTGATTGGAAATGCAGTGAATAAATAGTCTTGAGAAACTTTCCCACCATCCAGCTCTTCTTACCAGGTCAAATCTCGGGTTTCTTAGGGAGACAAGACTAAGGGTGAATTTGCTGAGGAGGAATGGGGGTGGCTTTAGGTAGGAAATGTCAGTATGGTATGGAACTGGGGAACAGACGATTCCAGGATAATTCTCTGGTTAAAAAAAAATAATAAAAGAAGTTTCTATATTTTGTGTTTGATAAATCTGACCATGTTGTTTTTTTCCTGACCCCCACCCTCCAGAATGGCCATCAGGAAAGCTGACTCAGAACTCAGTTTAGGCCCAGGTTTTCCTTCCTGGCAAATCTCTTTCTCCTTATCTTCTTCCTCCACCCCGCCACTCATGCCATGTTTTTTTGTAGCCACTCCCCAGCATGGTGGAGGAAAGGCAGGCCTGACTCGGTGTTATCTGTCCCAATTTTACCCAGTGGTAGTTGGGCGGGTCTGTCTAGGTTCCAGCCAATTGTAATGGGGGACATCTCTCACTCCTGCTTTGTAGGTGGAGCAAGTGCCATTGAGGTAAATATGATGAGCTTTACATTCCATCTTCCCTCTGCTCCTAAACCCTACAGTAGGTAATCTGCTTCTAGCAAGGGGTGAAGGTGGGAGAAACATCTGTATAGGAGACAAGAGGTCTGAATTGTTTTTAAGGCCTGCCCTCTACTCCGTACCTTAATTACTGTTCTTTATTCTGTTTCCTACTTCACCGTCCAGTTCCCTTAAGATACTGCCTAGGTTGTCTCATGACAATCTTTCTTTCATGATACTCTATCTTAGGGAAAAAGCAGAAGAAGCAGAACTAGGAGCAACCCTGAGTGTTGGGGGACTGGAGCTGAAGGAGGAATGGCAGGATGAAGAATTCCCTAGGTAAGGAAGAGTGAGAGAGGCTGGGAGAAGGAAGGGATGGTCACAAATGGAGGGCAGGGATGGCAAATCAGGATTTATGGGAAGAAGAAAGCAGAGGTGATAAAATCTTGGTAAGGAAGGAGAACTGATAAATTGATATCTGGCTTGATGTCGTTAACCTATATCTCTGCTCCCTTTTAATCTTTTCCTATCTAGATTGCTTCCTGAGGAGGCTGGCCCTTCTGAAGATCCTGAAGACCCTAAAAGAGATTCACAGGCAGGTAGGTAAAGTAGAAACTGGGCCTCAAGTTCCTGATGCTAGTCCAGTGAAGTCTATGCCACCCCATCCCTTTGTATTCCCTCTTCCCCTTTTCCCAAATGTCCCCTGTATCAGTCCCTTCTTCAGAGTTCATCCCATATCATCACTTCCATGTACAGGAATTCCAACCATCTCCACACCCCCAAAAGATACATATCTTTCTGTTTTTCTTTTTTTCTCTTCCTCCAACCCTAGGTACCCCCAGTACATTAGCCCTGTGTGGCCAGCGCCCCATGCGTAAGCGTCTTTCTGCCCCAGAGTTGCGGTTGAATCTGATTGAGGGGTCTGAAGACAATGGAGCTTCTCCCTGCCACTCTGCACCTTCCTCTCCTGATGGCAGTTCTGACCTGGAGGTAGACGAATTGGAGACACCCTCAGACTCAGAGCAGCTGGACAGTGGACATGAATTTGATTGGGAAGGTAGGAAACAAACCTGAGGACAGAGCTAGTAGAAGTAGAAGCCAATGTTAAAAGAAGCTCAGGGGGCCAGCCTGTGGCTCACTTGGGAGAGTGCGGTGCTGATAACACCAAGGCCATGGGTTCGGATCCCATATAGGGATGGCCGGTTTGCTCACTGGGTGAGCGTGGTGCTGACAACACCAAGTCAAGGGTTAAGATCCCCTTACCGGTCATCTTTTTAAAAAAAAAAAAAGTTCAGGGGCCAGCCCGGTGGCGCACTGGAGAGTGCGCCGCTTGGGGGCG